GGAATTCAGATGCACTCTTATTGATTGTGCTTGGCTGTACATGTACATATCCTTGAAGATGTATCATGGGGGTGTTGCAACCTAGAAGACACAAAAAATTTAATAATAATTTTTTTAAAAAAAGAACTGAGGTTTAGTCTCAAGTTGTAAAGGATTCTTTGGGAAAAATATTGAGTGGTGTAGGAAGCATCTAAAGAAGATGGAAGTAAGTCACAGAGTCAAAAAGCATTAGTCAGTATTGAACAGTTTCAGGATGAAGCATGTGATAAAGAACCAAAAAAAAAAGAACCAATAGTATTGCAGGCCCGGGAGTCTATTCCTGGTGCTGCTTTCCCAGGACATGCCCAAGGTTGTGAGTCAGGCCAGGTGTACTCACACCCTGGCCAGCAACACAACCACTGCCTAATTGCAGTTCCAGTGTGGCCCAGACCATGCTCCTGCCTGCAGCACTAGTCTGCCACCCCACTGTGTGTGGGCCGCCATCCTGCTGCCCCACTGTCTTGCACCAGTAGCACCAATATCACAGGTGCTTTGCTTTCGAACATGGCTGTCTACGTACATCACGTGCGATTTCTTAAGCTCAAGCTGAAAAGGTTGAGTGGAGCTTCAGTTTCATCCCGCTTCAGGCCTGAGACCCAAGAGGGGAGCACCAACACGTCCTTCTCAAAACATTACCAGATCCTGGGATATTATATAATTACAACAATCTACTAAGAAATGAGTCATCTACAACTCGATGGCACTTAACAACACTGGCCTAGTGGACAGAAAGTTATGCTACCAAGCCCACGGTGGGTGACTTTAATCTGCCGTACTCAGTCCTGGCTTAAATTGTTTTTGTCAAACATTCTTCTAAGTGGCATAGCACTGGTCTATGCATTGCTGTACAGAGGTAACTCGTGGTTGCTGTGATGCTAAACACTGTGGCATTGATGTGTCAAATGTGATAATGGTTACCCATGGTGGACAGTTTTTAGTGAAGCTTCCCAATTAAAACAAACTTGGAAGCAGGAATGGCATCCACTTCCAAAATGGCTTGCCTCCAGAAACTCTACGAACAGTGCAGTGCTTAGGTCTTTCATTCACAGGGTCGCTATGAGTCGTCTATGACTCGATGACACTTAACAACAACAACTACTAAGAAATGAATCACAATCATTGCTCCAAAGTGCTGCATATTATTCTGTTTTGTGAATGTACCACAATTTCTCAATCTATTCGGTTGTGGTTGGAAAAACTGGGCTGTTTTCATGTTCCTGCAATGGTGAATGGTGCTACTATGAAAACTGCTGTGCAAATATTTGTGTCTCAGCTCTAATTTCCTTGGGTTATATTCCTAGTAATGGAATAGCTGGGTCTTAGGGAGTTTCTATGTTCAACTATTTGAGAACATGTCAAACCATCTTCCAGAGTGATTGCATCATTTTACAATCCAACCAACAGTGTATGGGAGTTCCCACCTCTTCACATCCTCTGCAACATTTATTGCTTGCTGCACATAACAACAACATGAGAATGATTGTATGAAACACAATGTGAATGAAGAAAAGTGTGAAACACAATGTATATAAACTTTGTAAGCAAACTAATTTTTTAAAAAAATACTGTAAAATAGAATGTATATGAATGATTGTACAAAACACAGTGTAAATAAAAGATTTTATAAACAAAATGTATATAAATGAAATATAATGTAAAAGTTCTGTTCTATTGTACATAGCGTTTTCGGAGACCTGCTATTTCAGAAGTGGATGGCCAGTCCTTCTTCCTAGTCTGTCTTAATCTGAATGTTCAGATTTATAGGAGTATCTGACAGACAAGCAATATATAGAAAAGTGAAAGATAAATCCCTCATTGTGGAGTTAACCATTAGTTACAGTGTTGTTCCTGCCCTTGGCACAGTGCCTTGACCCACTTATTTCCCAGCTCCACCCTTCACCAAGATACCCTCTCACTTCTACCGAATCCCTTCAGCATTTATCTTCCATTGTCCAATCCTTGATCTGACGGTTTATATGTCTATCTGTGTTTCATTGATTATGCAAAGGCGTTTGACTGTATGGATCATAACAAACTGTGGCTGACTCTGAGAAGAATGGGAATCCCAGAACACTTGATCGTGCTAAAGTGGAA